AAAAAGAAAGAGAGTAATAAAAATGAGGAAAGGGAGGAAGAGACAAAATAAACAAGGGTGAGTGAAAGAGGAATAGAAATAGATTAAAGAAGTGTGAAAAAAAAAAAGAAGAAAATAAGGAACAAATAGAGAGAGTAAAGAATTAAAGGGAGAAAGTTAGGAAAAGAAAAGAGAAGTGGTGAAATTAGAAGAAAAGGTGAGAGAAAAAAATAGGGCAAAGAGAATCAAATAAAGCTAGAAGAGAAAGATTGGGAATGAAGGAAAAAAAGAAAGATGAAAAGAGAAAATAAGCTGACATGAAGAAATGAAAGATGCTTAAACGAGAAGAAAAAGAAAATCGATGAAGATGGAGGAAAGTGAAGACAAGCAGTAAGAGAGGAGGAAAGAGAAAAGAAATAGTGATAGAAAGATTATAGGTAAGGAATAATAGAAAGAAAGAAAAAAAAAAACGCAAGAGAACTAGAGAAACAAGGAAAACAGAAAATAGAGAGTTTAGTTTGGGAAGATTACATGAAGGATATTTTGTACATTGGATGCTTATGTGAGCAGATGTAGGTTTATGTGAGCACATGTAAATTTACATGAATATGTAAGCACATGTATATGACAGATGTATCTATAGGATGTAGGTGAGGTGCAGGTTGAGCTTACATAGATCATTGCATATGAAAATAATGCCTGAATAACCCTGGCATTTTTTTTTTCTTTTTTGGGGGTTTTCTTTTTGTTGTTTTAGGGCTTTCATTTATTTTTTTACTTATTTGTTTTGTTAACTGTTACTTGTCTGTTTCTTCTTGTTGCACGCGTTCTTACGCCACAAATGAGTGAGACATTCAGATCGTCTGTCTTCTTAAACAAGAATTCCAATGAGATGATGGCAAACAAGAGTATGAGAAATGAAAAGCATCACATGCAAAAAATAAATTGGATAATAATAATAACAACAATTAACAGCATCATCATCATCAACAAAACTACAGGTATGAAAATGTGTAAGAGAGGATATATATCTATATTTTTTGTTTTGTTTACTTCATTTCTGAACAGCATTCATAACAATAAGTTTATGCAACTGATGAATTGTTAGTGTTAGCACAAGATGATAAAGAAAAAGGCCTTGTTTTTTTTTTTTTTTTCTTTGAATTTCTTGTTATTTTTCAGAAAATAAATAAAAACTGGGAGTGGGACGTCCTTAATTATTATCGCTGATTTTTTCTTATCAAAGATTTTTATTAAAATTTGCCACTTTTAGTTCTAACATTTTATTTTTCCAAACATATTTGATTTTTCTGTGCATGTATAAAAATAGATCAATAAGTTCATAGCCCCATGATGATCCCCACCCCCAAAAAAAAGCATTTATTTCATGCGACAATTTTTTCCAACATGATCTCTTTCCTTGTCAATGTATTTCATTCAAATGTAATTCATCAAACGTTACACCGTGAAATTTTCAGATCAATATTCAATTCCTGACTACATATCAGGCTATGGATTTATTGATCCATCCTCATCTATGCATAGAAACAAACTGCAATATAAAATTATCTTCTGTGTAAGGTTATAATATATTTACCAATATTTTAAAATGTCAGTATGATATTGTCTATATTTCTTTTTATTATGCAGGGAAGAGCACAACTATATTTTAGCTTCACACACACACATACTCTTCTATTGCTCACAATAACATTTTCCAGTATCACACATGTATTATGATTAGACAGGTAAGTAAGATGTCCACATAATGACTCCTGAGCATATGCATATATAGACAAGAATTTATATTATTTTACTTAGTGTCTTTTAAATATTTTTCTGGCACCATCCTGTTAAAACCATCTTTGTTCTATCAACAGATATCTTCATAGTCATTAGAATACCAATTCTGCAGAGATTTGTTATATATATATATATATATATATATATTTATTTTGCATATTGTACAATTCTGTAGAATTCATTTTGTTGCCAAAAAATAAATAAAATAAAGACAGATATATAGCTACAAAGAAGGACTACAGAAATTAATAAAGTACAAGAAATAATAAATGAAGTACAAAAAAATGGTTTTCTATGGGTGAATGAAATAAAGAACAGAGAAGAAGCAATAAAGACATAAAAATAAGTACAAGGATAAAGAATAAGAAAAAAACAAAAATAAATCATACAAAAATATAAAAACAAATGCTAAACAAGTAGTAAAAAAATATATGAAAGTAACAACAAAGATAAAGAGAATGAAAAAGAATAAACAATGGTAAAAAAAATCACAGATAAATTCATATGAACAAGCAAAGTAAATGAAGAGAATCTTAAAATAAAAATAAACATGAAATTTATTAAAAAAAAAGAAGAAAAACAACAATTGAAAGATGTCAAGAATAAAGTCAAAAGCATTTTCCTTCAATTCATTCAGAAATAATGCCAACGAAAAAAAAAAAATCTGACAATACCTCCCCCATTCCTGCATTTCTCACTATGATACATATGTCACCCACTTCTGGTTAGCGATTAGACAAAGTGTATTTACAAGAGACAGCATCACACAATGCAGGCAAAATATGAAAATAAGTTCTCAAATAAACTATGGCTATCTCTCTCTGTCCCTACCCAAAAGAAAGGAAAGCAAAAATCAAAAAAAAAATTGAATTTCTTTGAGAATATAAAGCAAGTGCTAAGCAAGAAAAAGAGAAGGTGGGCTTGGGAAACACATGTAAATCACTTCAAAATATGCCTGGCTATCACAGTGTTGTTGATTGTAGATCAGCATATTGATCTGGGCCGACATCATACTGGTTTCGAATTTATGCAGCCCCAAAGGGGATGTATTTGTCTTCTTTTTGCTAGTGAGTATTTTGAATGCATACTGCTTTTGTAACAAACACCATACCAACTGGCATTAAAGAACATTTAAAGATTTGCAAAGATTTCAACAAAACATGTGTGGCATGCAGCAGGAGGATGAGGAATTGAAGCTTGCTTTTGGATTGATGATCCATTTTTCTTTATAAATTCCACTTATCTTTGGAAGAACTGGGAAAGAGTATTATGTATTTTTGGTACTTAACATTATTGCCACACATTTACCAGTGTTGCCAACAATGATGACATTTTAAATGTATTTCTTTAAAGTTATTACTTTCATACAGTCAGGTCTTTTGTAAAATCAATCGTTTCACCTCCTGTCTTCATAAAGATCTTGGAATAATTGGCAACTAAGTCTGATCATTTTACTGCTGAACTAGCTACATTCAGCCACCACTTCTACTCTAACAGTTTCTTTTCTCACACTTCTTACCTGTGGCACTCTCTTCTGATTTTTTGCTTCACTGATAGCTACAATCTTCAAAAATTTAAATGCAATGTCAGTTGCCATCTTCTGTCTTCTTGAACCCTGTTCCTTTTTTTTTTTGTCCTTTCCTCATTCATCCCCATTAAAGTCTTCTCATTCTCTTTCACCCCATGTAAACCTGTGTTGTAGTAAGATTATTGCCTTGCTTGGGGTGAAACATTTAAAAAAATAAAATAAAATCTGCTCTTGTCATAAAGACACTAGCTGACATTAGCTGAGCAAAAAAAGATAACTCTGGTACAGTAAAAAGTTACAGATAAAAAACACCAAATTTCATATATATATATATATATATATATATATATATGTGTGTGTGTGTGTGTGTGTATGTATGTATGTATGAGGTGGTATAAAAAGGTTTCCAGACTAGTTCTGTAGAGTGTCAACAGATAACACTAAATGACTGTGAGCACAGTGAAAGCAGTGACCTTCATACACCAGTATATCGAGAGACATCATTGTGTTCATTTTCCAAGTTGTGCAATTTGTGTTTCTGTGATCATGTTTATACTGTAGTCTGCAGTTACGTCATGCAAGTGCATGCTCATCCAGGACCAGACCATCAAGAGTTTGACTACAACATTTTGTGGCATTTGAAGGAGGATGTTTGGTGAAAAAAAAAAAAAAACAAATCTGTGGGGCACGAAGAAGTGGATTCTTCATCACAACAATGCAACCAGTCACTGAACTCTCCTCAATTGAAAAAAAAAACAAAAAAACAAAAAAAAAAAACAACAACATTGTATCACTTCCACACTGGCTCTATTCGCCAGATTTAGCACCTGTGAACTCCCATCTCTTCTGAAAATGCAGCTCAAAGGTCACTATTTTAAGACCATTACTGAGATCCAGAGCAAACTGCAGAAAGTCCTCAACTCACTCACAGAAAATGACTTCTAGGCTGGATTCCAAAAGTGATAGGAATGCTGGGACAAGTGGATTGCTGCTCAAGGTGACTATTTTGAAGATGATGGTGATGTTAAAAGTTAGGTAATTATATTATTATTTTTTTTAATATAACTACTCCAAGAACTTTTTGCTACTATTGTGGCCTGTTAGGGGCCAGAAAGAAAGACACGGAAAGAAGAAGGTAGGTTGAACAAGTGTATTGAAATAACAGAACATATATATAAAATAAGAGTGTTATTAGGCAGCAGATAGAAGTGTCCGTCTGAAGTGTCAGGTTACACTTCATCTTGACTGCCTCCTTAGGAAGTCTCGCAGGTTAGTATTTATGAAGGAGAGAGAGTTCATTTTAATATAAATAGGTCACCATAACAGATACCACCTCATATATATATATATATATATATATATATATATATGTGTGTGTGTGTGTGTGTGTCTGTTTAAGTGTGTGTATTATCACCATACAGTGAATTTCTATGTAAGCATTTTCCTCCATCTTGCCTTGGAAGGATAGTCTGGAACTTATTCCACACTGGTGACAGGAGGACTGATGGGGGACTGTTTACAAAACAGGCTGATAGTAATTTTGAAATTACTGGTTGATTGAGTGATAAACAAATCTCCGGAAATTCTTCTCTGTATATTTTCCCCCCTCATTATCCTCTCAGCACCTCCCTCTAACTACTTCCAATGATAAATAAAGCTCCTGATATCCCTCCCACCTAATCCACTTTCC